TGGCCACTAGGCCCCAAGGTGCGATGTCACCATCCGGGGTCTTTACAAATTAGGCAAAGTCGCCAGATGGTAAAAGTTCTGCTTTAAAAGATAATAATCCTTTCATCAAGTACTGAAAGGAAATAGATTTGTTTTTTGTTTTTTTAAATGAAGTATATGTTAAAAAAAGATGAGATAAACTGATCCCTCCCTTCATTATGTGACAGAATCCTTCAGCCATGAAATACATGCCTCTTGGGTCAGACAGTGTTAGAAAACAGACACTTACTGGGTTATGTACTAAGGTGAGAATTCAGATAGAATTTGAGGCCAGAGCAGCCAAACTGACAGCAAAACTGACTGAGAGAGGATTCTCCAATGTGGCTATATTGGCCTTAAATCTGAAATTTACCATGAATTCTCACCTCCATAAATATTCCTGCTAAACTCTGTGGTCTTCCCTGCTTGCGTGCCGGGAGTGAGGTGGGGAAGACCATAGAGACTAACTGTTTGTTTTCAAACACTGTCCGACCACATGTCCATGAATACAGCTACAGGATCCTGTCATATACTAATGGTAGGGATTTTCTCTCTCTTTTTTTAACATATACTTAAAAGATTAAATAGTCTATTTTCTTTCAATATTTGCTGAAAGGATTACTATATTGAATGGTGGTGGCGTTCATAGTTGGCCTTTAATTCCCATGTCTCCAAGCACAGTGAGACTGTCCCCAGTGTCCTATAAAACCCCCAGCTGTACGCTATAATATGTTTTATAATAAACGGAATTATGAACAGATAAGGCCTCTTGCTGACGTTCTAACAGTGTAGATAACTATACACAATAGCAAAACTCTTTTTTTTTTTTTTTACTTGCAAGCGAAAAGGAAAACATCCCGGACAGCGGCCAATCCTCAAGTCATGGTGGGTGACATGGGAATTAAATGAAAGCAGAAGGAATTCTTTGTGCCTGTTATCTCTGCTTTTAATACAAACAGCACATTTAATCAGATACAGATGTTGACCTCAGGAGCGATGGCCTCAAGACGCAAGGGGGCTCGGTATACGCACAAATACACTTAATGGCTATTAAAGGGACACTCTAAGCACCAAAACAACTGCACATTAATGTAGTTTTGGTGCCTAGATGTGGTCCCTTTTTTGCAGACAATATAGAAAATTGCTGTTTTTCAGACACAAATATTTATATATGTCGATTTTAGTGGGTCTGACAGATGCCACTACAGCAGAGTTGGGCAACCTTCAGCACTCCAGATGTTGCGGACTACATATCTCCTGATGCTTTGCCAGCTCTATGGGTGATGTAGTCCACAAAATCTGGAGTGCTGAAGGTTGCCTAGCATTGCATGTGGTGCATTACCTCCTTAAAACATTTCATTTTTGAAGGTCTTGACATTTGGAGTCCTTACACACAGCATAGTGACTTACAGAGAAGCACTGGGCTGGCAGAGCGATTGCTGTGCATGTCTCACATATTTACAACGCTTCTCTCTGAGACGCAGTGGATTGCACCGGATATCATCATTCTTCTCATAGTGAGAGGAGCGGCCTTTATATTACAAGTTTAATGGCTTTTTAAAACATTTTGTTGTTGTTGTTAGACAATACGGGGAGTTGTCTTAGAGAGAGTAGGGGACAAACACACCTTATAATAAAGCATTGGTGGAATCTTCACATTTCATACATTGTGATTGGCCCAAACAGTCGCCATGGTTACTGCAAACCCTCTCATACTATTTTCCAAAAGGACTCTTGTATCTATTCAATGCTCTATGTACATAGGGGAATTTGTGATTGTTTTAATGAGAGAAACATTTCCAGGAAATATTTAGAATGATCGTACAAGCTGCTTCGGAGAATTATTTCATTTTGGGAATGTTCCTACACTAGCACACATGGTCCTCATGGCAGAAGCAGATTTGGAAAAACTGGCAGCGAGAGGCTGCGGTCGGCACAGTGCGAGGGTGATGGGTGGATCAGGAAGTCCTGCTACAGATTGCCCAACCCCAAAAGAAACACAATACACAGAGGTGTCGTCTCTTCCTATAACACTGAGTTCATGGAATAGCTAGATTTAGGCTAACGCGGTGATTATCCTCCTTTCAGTTCCCTTCAATGCGCTGCTTAGTGAATAAACCAGTCTTACACACTGCAACGTAAACAGTGTCACAGCTGCGTGGTGCCGTGGGTGGCACCTTGTTTTATCCATCAGGTTTTTATCTCCACCTCATCGGCATGTGCTTGTCCACACAGCTGCCGTGTTGATTTCAGATACTCTGCATCTCACATTGGCTTCTCAGTAGCCCTTGCGCCATCTTGGTGTCACATTAGGTTATTGCAATGCGCGTTCAATCAAGCCCAAGTCTACAACATAGCGAGCTTCAGGCAATGCTCGGTTATTCCAGTGTCACTGTACTTTAAGCACATCTTGCTTTCAGACCCGTCATGATTCAATTTCAGATAACCATATACCAGGCTTGAAGTACCCACGGCAATTTTTCTACCCAGTCGGGCACTTTACAGCTACGTCCTTAAAGCATCTACCCCTTAGGCCTATCAAGCCCCCTAACCACAGATTCTCAGTGTTTTTATTCTGATCTGCATTCCTCCAGTGTGTACATATAGGCCGCTGCCCTGACACACCCTTGCCTGGGAGCTCTTCCCTATTCCAGGCTTTTCCAGTTAGTGCTGATATGTAACGCTGCGCCCCTGCATCTGGTTTCAAACTCAACAAATGCCAACTCCTGTCATTAAATGGTGTATTGTTAGAAATTCTAAGTAAATCTTTAAATTACAAGAAAAAAGAAAAAAAAACTTACTGAAATTATTCACCTATGTTTATAGTTTGGCTATTTTTGGTCTAAAAATTTAAATTCACTTTGAATTTAATTTAAATTGCCAATAATGCGCATTATAATGAGTAACCCTGGTAACATCAAATCAGACTGACATCTAGAACATATTTCTAATTTCTACAGTTATCGCTAATTACCTCTTCTTTCATAATTATACGTCTATCCATGAAATGTCAGATGTCCACCAGTAAACTGCAAGTTCAATGCCGAATTAGCTGTACTGGAAACATGGCTCACTCTGCTCCAGCCATTTTATTCGTTTATTTTTCCATTCTAAAGCTATCCCACACATTTTATGTACGTTTCACATACGTTTAATTTGATGCTATTATCACATCTTGTAATCCTGCTTCCCTACTGGACATGTTCATATTCCCCACAACTTTTAGACTAACTGTTCCTACTCTGGCTGGGGTATGACCCAAATCTGTGACAGCATGGTGTGTCAGTGGATCCTCAATGACTTGAAAAGGCACCTCATTCACCAGGAATCAGGCAACTACCCAAAATACAGGGAGTGCAGAATTATTAGGCAAATTAGTATTTTGACCACATCATCCTCTTTAT